AAGAGTGTACTTACTCCTGATAATTTTCCACTTATTGAAGAAAAGTTGAAAACATCTGGACTCTCTATTCCAAGTCTGAATTTCATTAGCGCTACTCCAGTCCCATCTGGAAGAAACACACCAGAAATGTTAACAGAGTGCACAATGGAAGTATCAAATGATGGAACTGAAACTATGGTTAACTGTGTGCAACCTATTGAAGAAGTATTTGCCAGTTTGATTGAAACTGAAGAAGAGGATTTGGTATTTAGTTCAAAGGAAAGAATGGTTGAAGAAAATGAACAAGAAATTAAAATCCCTCTCGCCTCACAAGGAGCATGTGAAATTTCAGTGAACCTAACACCAGATGAAAAAGTAAGTCTTGAAAATTTGTCTAGTGAAATTACTTCAGTTAGTAAACTAGGTTTTGATACTTACAGCTCTGCTTCAGAGACTGACCATTCAGTGTTAATTGTCACAAGACCATTAGAAAACAAGACCAGTACTGAGGAATGTGGAGTAGAATTTTCTTGCTCAAATGTGTTGCTTTGTGCACCAAAGAATTCAGAAAATAAAGGTGAGACACCAGAACTTTGTGAAATAGAATGTGAAGAGCAAAGCAAGCCCAGTGGTGTTATACCTTTAGGATCTCCTGATCTTAGAAACACTGCACAGTGTGAACTGGAAGTCACATTAAATACAGGTTTGAAGAGTATGGAGGCAGTGCTTAATACTGTCAGTTCCAATCCATTAGGCTGTCACACTCTGATTCTGAAATGTGAAACAGGTTCATGTACACTCCCTGACCTGCAAAACACTATAGTCACAAAAGCAGAGGTCTGTGAAGAAGTAAATAAGCCAACTGTTGATACAAAAAATGCTTCACATGTTGGCCAACAAACCAAAGTGCCTTTCCAAAATGCAACAAGCAAAGAACTATCTTCCATTGAAGAACATTGCCTATCCCTTCATAAACAGGATGTACTGATAGCATCAAATTCACTTACTCTGGAAAGTGAGAAAAGCAGTGCAGGCTCAAGTTTAAATGATCTTACTCATGAAGAAAATAGTATCATACCAACAGACTTGATACACAAACAAATTCCTATCATTGACACAGACCTTTTGAAGTGGGGCCCTGAAGAAAGCAAGTGTTGTGAGCAAGCAAGTGAAGAAGACCTGGAACACATTCCAGACATAGTCAGGGATGTTCACAAATTGCACTTTGAAGAGAATTCCATGTTGAAAGTTTCTTACTTTGAACAGGTTACTGCAGAAACTCCCAACTTTGCTGGTCACATTTCAGTGCCAGATTCTGAGGAACACAACACAAATTTTAACTCAGATTTGACTGATAGTTTTCGAACAACAGAAACAACACACACAAAATCTCCTGAATTTGCTGAAGACATTTTAAATGTAGAAGAGAATAATGAAAACTGTAGTTCAGAGATGTCAGCTTATGAGCAGATATATGTTCGGCCAATAGAAATTAAGCATCCTGATTTTGTCACAGATGTTCTGGAATTATATGCAAAGGAAATCAAAGAAAGCTGTGACTCAGGTGGCATCAGTTGTGAAAAAGTATACATGGTACCAGTTGAAATTAAGAATGTTCAGTCTCCTGATCTTACTATAAATGTAGAGAAGAGGAATGAAAGTTCTAAGTTTTCCAGTTACAAACAAATGTCCTTTGACCCACAGAAGCAATTCAGGATTTTTAATCCTGGCCAAGACATAGCAGAAACTAAAGAGATGTGTAACTCACATCTTAAAAATTGTGAACAAGCATCTGTGGAAGTTTTGGATTTAGTTCATATGCCACTGTCTCACATTTTCAGTGACAAAGAGGAAAAGGTGGTTGGCGCTGATGATTCATGGAAGCAGAACCAATTTGACAGCAACAGTCGAGTACTAATGGAAGATTTTTTGCTTGGAGAAAGGTTAGCAAGTGGACTGACTACATCAGGACTTGATATAAAGGCAGAGGAAAACTTTGATGCAACTGGTGAGGTGGAAGATGATGGTGAAGACTTTGGGTTGGACGCAGTGAAACACTTGACACCAGATGATGAACGCAGTAGTGACTCTGGTTTCAGAGACAAGGGAAGTTTGAGTGAGAGCTGTGAGGAAGTGTGTGATGAAAAGTACAACCTTGAGGATATTGAGGCAGAGTTGGAGGACACTTTTAATAGGGGCAACTTCAACTATGTTGATGAGCATGACAATGAAGAAGAACAGAATGAGAGAGCACTTGAAGACCAACAGGGAAAGTTGTCAGCCAAAAGTTCTGATGATTCACCATTCATCTACATTGAGGAACCTGGCAATGGAAACCAGAATCATAGGACTATGGAAGACATAGAGAGAAAGCTGCCAGTCAGGAGCTGTGTTGATAAAGTATACAACATAGAAGATCTTGATTGTTGTGATATTGTGCATAATGAAAATAGCACTGATAAAACATTTGAAGCAGTGGGTGGTAAATTAACAAAGGTTATAGACATGTTGGAAAGTGTAGAAAAAGATCAGGCAGGAGGTCAGTTTGCTGGAGAAGTTACAGAATCAGTAATCAAAGATCAGCTGAAGAATGAATCTCTAGATTCAGGTGATTCAGATATGAAGAGATCACCTGAGTTGATCAGAATTCAGTGTGATATAGATAATCATGATGATACTTCAACAGGATTTCACCAGCCTGAACTTTTGAGTGTGGCTGGTGATTATAAAGAACCCATTTTGCTAGTAAAATTACAAGAAGATATAGAGACCAATATTATAAAAAATTATACTTCTGTCAACAAAATAAACCAGTTACTTGAGTCAGGGAGAGAATCTCAGAATTCAGAAATGTTGAATTTGGACAGTGACACAAGACAATGGCAGATCATAATGGATTCAAATGTGATTGAACATGTGTCTGATGAGAACAAACAAAACAGATATCCTGTAACTGTTCCTGCAAGTGATTCCAGGCCAGTTTCTTTAACTAACGTTATTCCAGATATAAATTTGACCACAGAAATTCATGTTCCTGATAAACATTTTTCAAACCATGAAGTCAAACATGATGCAATTTTATCATCCATCTCACCAGATGATAAGGTAGTTTCACAGATGGATGGTTACTGTCTAAGAAGTACACAAAAATCTGGATTAAATGCATACCAAACATTCTCTTTTGGTGAAACATGTGCAAATGAAGATGCATGTGAGGTCGGTGACAAACCTGAATCTGCAAGTAGAGAGCTACAGCACTCAGAGTTGGTACAAAGGCACACAACGGGATGGTATTTGCATCCCCCTCTGGAAAACGGTAACTATGAAGACAGTAAGGGAGATCTTGTAAACCTTGAAGAATGCCCCAGTGTAACAGATTCAGGCCCATGTAGCTCAAAGTATGAGGAAAGTAATAATGGTGACAACAGCTATGTGTCATTTAGTCTAGACGAGGAATTTGTGACAGCAATCAGAAATGAGCTGCGTGATAAATTGCCTTGCACACGTCAACAGAGTCAGGAAGAGGAGGACTCGGAAGAAGATGAGATCTTAGATCCAGATGATGACTTGCCCCAAGAAGAGAGAACAGATATCATGATACATTACAACACATACTCAGCACCTCTGTCTCCAATTTTAGAGGAACATGAAAGTGGGAGTTCAGTAACAACTACAGTCAGTGATCATTACTCTTCATTAGCATTATCAAACCAGAGAGATGCTCCAGTATCAGGTTCTGACTCAGAGCCTTTGAGTCCTGTCTTTGTGTTGGATCCAAGAGATGGTGATAGTAGAGCACAGTATGAAATAAATGCTAAGAAGTTTGAACAGGAGATTCGAGAAGCCCTTGAAAACTGCAGTTTGAATAGTGAAGGTAGTGAAGATATAAGCAGCCCTTCCAATAAAGTTCATAATGAAAGCAGTGTGCTACTTGAGGATCTGGAACAACAGCCATCAGTAGACACACAGGGATTGTCATTGAATGTGACTGTAAATGAGAACATTGTTGTAGTCCATGGCACCCACCAGCATCCTAATGGTGATGATCTTCTAGTAGTGAACACTGAGACCAATGAAGCTACTTTGTTAGAGAGCCTGACACCCAAGTCACACTTAGCATTTGTGAATAATAGAAGAACACTTCAGGAGGGCAAGTCAATTGATGGACTGTCTGGCACACCTAACTTTTTTGGTGAAAATGAAGTGATTGTTGGTGTGAATTCAGATACATTTGTTATTGATAGAAGTAGATTAATTGGTACCTTTGAAGTGGATTCAAAATTGGGTGCAGGAAAAGAAATGTCATCTGATGATGAAGTGTACACACCAGACAGCATATCTGAGCATGTGACTGGTACTCCATCCGAATCCACTCTTCAGTCTCCTGATACTGAAAACTTATCAGACTTTTTTCTAACGCCATCTGAAAAGTCACCTGCTGTAAGTGAATGTCCACTTGGACCACAGAATTCCAGTGTGTTCAATTCATACCTTCTGCATTCCTTATCAAAGAATCATGATAACCAAATTTTTGAAAAGGTGCAGGAAATCTCTTTAGGAGTAGCCAACAATGAGGCAGCAGAAATAATATCTGAGCTTGAAAATAGTGGCATATTTAATAACAATAATAATGATGCAAACAAAGAAACTTGTGCAGCAGTGTTACCATTGTGTGAGAAAGTATCAATACAAGAGCTGCCCAGCTCTAGGACTTCATCTGTGAATGATAACAATGAAGTGCTGTCAGTAGAGGACAGTTCAGAATCCTCAGAATTAACTAAGAAAGACTCTGATGATGATAAAAACAACCCTGCAAGGCTGTCTGCAGTTGATCGATTGGACTATTTAACATCACCAAATCTAGATGTGTTCTCTATGAAGATAAAGGAATCAACAGAGAATTCTGAAGAGGAGGAAAACTCTATGAATGGTAACAGCTGCAACAGGAGACTGTTCCTAAATGACACTTTAGATCTTCTGAAGAGACGAAAAGATTCTCGACAGAATGACAGTGACCTATATCAAGAAGATGAAGAAAGAGACTGGAGTCTCCCAAACCTTGAAGCATCTATTCTCAGCACGAAGGCACCGATGCCATCGCCAGAAGAGGAATCATGGAAGCAGATCCCATCAATGCTGGCATTCTCAGATTTGAATGAAGTGATGTCTCGGTGTGGTAACAAGCAACAGGCATTTGACACTATCTCTTTCAATGGTCCATCACAGTGTGTGTCTTATAGTGGTCAGACAGAGGTGGATGATGGTGATCTGATGTCCACATCTTTCAGCATCAAGGGTGATCCTGGTGATCCAGAATGCTACACTCCAGACTGGGAAAGTGATTCTGATGAGACTAATGAAGAAGATAATTCTTCTTCAAGTGGTGAATTCATATGGAAGGTACGTACATGGGGTATGTAAATTACAAGTTTGTAGGGAATGAAATGTACACATGGTTCGGTACCACATTGTGAGACAGGAAACATGAGGGTCTGGAGGTAAGACCATCGGTTCTTACTGCTTGTGTCATGGCACCTTACATCTTGATCTTTTGCACCTTGCATTTGAATTATTGAGTTTTTAAAATATGAAATTATAGTACTTGTTATCTAACTGTAAAAAGTAATAGTTTAAAAAATCAATTAATAATCCCCAAAATTAATACTCTCTACACAGCATATATTATGCAAATTAATTTGGGTTTTATGTGTTTTTAATGTTTTCAGTTTCACCGCAATATCATAGTTAACCCTGCACTACAGACTACCATCATAATAATTTCAGAAATGTGTGTCTTACTGTTATGAATATACAAAATTTATAAATAAGTTATGATCAGATGTTTTACCAGTCCATCATCATGTTTCATTTTGTGAAATGCTAAACAGATTTCATAAAGTATAGCATTTGGGTCCATACCTGTCAGGTTAATTTAATTTTGTTAAATACCAGTCCATTATAGCCCCTGCTTTACTTAAAGCCCAAATTTAACCAGTATTTTTCATTAATTGTTCACCCAACAATAAATTAATACATGACTTTAAATGTACTAGCATATGCTATTAAGATGTATTTACTATTTGAAACCTGTTTGATATAGAGAATATTTACAGAATATAAGGAAAATAGTTTTTGACTCTGTGCTGTGTGATATCTGTGCAACAGTAGATATTATATGCAGCAAATGAACATAAAGACGGATGTGGTATGCAAAATTCTAGAGAATGCTCTTGGAAAGTATGTGTACCACATTAGAGCACACTTTTCAAATGCTGTGTGAGTTCACAATTCAATTTAGCCATTCTCCAGAGAAATTTGAACTTTTTTTCCTCCCCCTCTTCCCCTGTTTGTCTTACTGCTTTGGTACATCCTGTTCCTTTTTTCATCTATTCTGTGTACAACTGTAGTTGGCATCCAAGTGGAAAAACTGTGTTGCTTTTGTTTGTGCTCCCTTGTATTGTTATATTCAATGTTTCTTTATTTAAGGTTTTATCCTCATTTAAAGATCCATTTCACTGACCTCCAAGTCAGTAATTTTGGTTTTAAATGTCTTCTATTTTTCTCAGTTCACTGTTCTTATTCATTATCCCATACTGAAACATTAAGTGAGGATTCCAATGTAGTGTGTTTTCATATTTCTGTGGGAGTAATTATTGTGTGTTGGTTACCTTGTACATAATTTTGTGTCTTGTAAAACCGTAAAGTTTATATTTAGTTTGCATTGTGTATAATATTATTTTTAATATGCATATCCATAGAACATAGAATGAAGAAAACTATATTTCTGCTTGTAGAATATGTAGAAATTTTTTGTTTTTGTTACTCTTTGGATGTAACTCATAACTCATCATTCCTATAAAGCAGTAAAAGACAGTCATCAGTGTGAGAAAAATAAGGGAATGTGGAACATGTGATGATTAAATAATAGGGCTGATTCTATTAAAAGTATATTGTCACCAATGTTCAGTGAGTGTTTACCTTGTCACTTTGTACATTATGCCTGACATGCCACCAGCAAACACTGGTGATAATAACTGAAAGAACGCCTTTACTACTGGCATTACATTGCTCTGATTGTCATTAGTTGATTCAAATTGAGTCCCATCCAGGCAATGTTTAGTTTCTGGGATGTGAAGAGTCACATAGGACCAAATCAAATGAGTATGATGGATGTTTTAACACTAGTATTTTACTTTTTGTCCAAAATTACTTTATTGAGAGTGCTTTGTGGAAAGATGTATTGTCATGATGCAGAATCCTCTTGCCTGGAAAATTTTTTTTCCATTATCTGGAACAAATGGGGCTCAAACTGATTTAGTTAGAAGAGGTACCATTATGTTAGGAATGAATGATACATTATCCTACAGCTGCCATCTGTCTGCATTTGCCCATCTGTTTCTGTGCTGTGTGTTTCTCATCTGTCCTTCTCTTGGTTTCACTTTGTCTGTCTGTGTGCTGGTGGCGGGTAGGAGGGAGACAGGGAGTCCTCAGTGAAGGCTATTGATATTTCTGCCACTTCCAACACCAGCAAGGTGAGTGCACTTTTGACACAAAGTTGCATGCCTTGATCTGAGACACCCTTTACAACCCGTACACTTGTTTAGGTGTATTTTGAAAAACAACATGGAAAAATCATTTATTGCTTTGGTCATGTATGTCTGTTTGTCATTCTACAAGTTACAGAGAACTCTCATGATATGAAAGGGTTTTATATATGACATAATAATTATACCATTAATGATTTATTTGTGTGTGTTGTTCCACATGTATTGATCCCCACTGTTTGAAAGTTTACAGACATAATCATTGCCATGTTGCAATTTTTAATACAAATAAACATGTTCAAACTATGTAGATATGGTCCATGATTTATCTCCATGCCAAAATCCAAGATCAAAAGATGTACAAAGTTTAACTGTTCTTATAG